CAGCTCCTCAGACTAGAAGCTGGTGAGGAGAGTAGTGAGAACTACAGACAAGATCATCAGGGCTCCACTTCCCTCCATTAAAGACATTTCATCCCAGCACTGCGTGTCCCAAGCCTGTAACATCATAAATGACCCCTCACCCCCCACCATGGACTGTTCTCCCTGCTTCCCTTTAGGAAGAAAGAGGCTTCAAAGCATCCGATGCAGGTCCAACAGATTCCAAAACAGCTTCTTCCCCATTAGCCATTAGGTGCTGAATGCTGTATAAAATGGGGTTAAAAAAAAAAAAAGATGCACAATGTTGGAAAACTGAATTATATACCAGACTTATGTTTACATTTGATCATCATGTTTTTATTCGATCACTGCTGCACTTTAGAAACACTCTGGGTATAAAAAATTAAAATGTCTAAGTCTAAAAGTGGTTATAAAAGTTTTGTCTCAGAAGGGCTATAACAGGTGCATGCTACACTTTTCTTGTTTTTCTTTTAAAAAACGAATTAAAATTATTTATCCATTCACTTCTATACTATGTACTAATTTTTAATTTGTAAACCATCAAAGGTGTGTTTGTTTTCTAAGAACAATTATTGTTTGTAATTATAACATGGCAAAAGGTATGAGGGAATAATTCCTTTGAAAGGAGCTGTAGATTTGTCCGGCACAGAGCAGGCAGCTGTTTGCATCTACTGCAATGTTATTAGGATCACAGAGCAATCATAGTGGCCAGGATTTTCCTTTAATAAATTCTTCAGCCTTGGAAAAACAGGGCCCCAGTCCCTTGACCCCTTACCAAGCATTGTCTCACCAGTTGGTCCATCGTTAGTTATTCTTCGCTTTAAAGCACTTTTCTCTTTCCTCTGTTTTAATTACCACAGAGGTGTCATCATGGGGTTATTAAAGAAAAACAAAAACTTGTAGTGTTGAAGTGGGAATTTTTTTTTTTTATTAGAAGAAACTAAAGGTTCAGGGGTTTAGAAGTTCTGTCAAAAAGAATCCAGTTAAAAGCTGATCAGATATGCTTATTTACAGCCGGTTCATTCCTGTGGTCAGTCCCCTGAGGCTGGCAGGGAGCTGGGCTGTTGCATAAACATCACGTCGAAGTGTCACTGCCCTGCTTCCTGCAAGTCTAAATTCTCTTTTCGATCTAGGTAGATTAGCATTAAGATCCAATTTAATTGTTTTGTCTCGTTTTTTTTCCCCTCCGTGTACATTGTTGATTTTCTTGGAATGCCTTCGTACACTTCCAAGTATTGTTGCACTGAGTTTAATGGAGACATGCAACATGCCAGGTTAGAGGAAAATCAGCTCTGTCCTCTGGAGGCCTATGAGAAACCAGGGCAATAATAAATATGTTGGCAGCATTTTGATGTTTTTCTTTTGTGAGAATTGTTTGGCAGGTGTCTGACTCACTTGTTTTTGTGGGTTTGCTGGTGAAAATGGACAAATCAGAAAAACACTGCTCCCGTTTGCGGCTGACGTGGTGAAAAATGTTGATCCCTTTAATTATGGGTTTGCATCTTGTTTTGATTGGTGGTTTTGGTTCAACCTTCCCCTCTGTTGCAGAAAGATTGCTCAGCCACGTCTTCCACCACATCTCCCCATATAATTATTTCTATGTATAGAGCTGCAGGTATTGCTATATTAGGGCCACAAAAAAAACCCCCACTGCAATGCATTTAACGCTGCTATTTGTAGAACTGTCTGATCCTTACTTTTCTTTATAAACCCATGTTTGCAATGACTCAGGCCAGTTTTAAAGTCCCTGACCTGTTTTCTTAGTGTCGTATATGCACAATGCTCCACTTTCTTTAACCGGAGCCAAACATATTAAAGTGATAGTAATTTGGTTTTATGTATACTGCGACAAAGTTAATTTAATCTGGAATCAGATGACTGATGACCATAAGAGATATAAAATATTTTATTATGTCCTTATATCACTTCTTTAATGCATAAACCTTCCTTATGTCTTACTTCTAAATGTTTCTCCTTTCCTCCTTGTGACCTTCCTGCTTTGCTAATGATGTCCTCCGCTTCTTTACCGTGTCCTACCCATCTCCCTTACTGGCAGTTTGTTTTCCCAGGTTTCATACATAAATCTGCTCACTGTTGAAACATCTGCCATGAGTTCTTGGTGAACTTTGGTATGTTATATTATAAAATGAACATAAAGAACCAGGGTCTAAAAGTGGACAAAGAAAAGTCTGGAATATTTACATGTAGAACATGTAGGAACCCTGCAATTTGAATCATTGATAGGTCAACCTGACGGGACTGAGTGGCCCTCTACTGCCAAACATAACAACATTAAGGGGGTGCAGTGGAGGAGTGTTGTTTTATAACCCAGCAGGATGGTCATAAAAATCAAAATGGCCTCTGCTGCCAGCATGCATGAGCCAACTAAAATATACAGCTTGCTTGAGTAGAGTCTGGAGTAACATTAGGAATTAAGGCCTACACTGTGTACAGTAAATCAGCAGGAGACAACAGGGATTTGCAGCAGGCGGTGATTTTGGCAGCTCATGATCCACGGGAGGTCTTGATTACAGGTGTCAGCCTCCTTTAAGCACACCTTACGGAACAGAATAATTCAGGTAAACAGACATTTTGGATTAGAAGGGGCTGTAAACAGATGATGACAGACTACAGAACTGTGCTTCAGGAATGACCCAATGAAGTTTTCAGGGATTTATATGTAGTTTCCTTTGATCTCTTTATTTTACTTTACCTGCGTTTCTGGTTAAGTTTTACCGTTTTATTTTTCCTTCTTTGTCTTATGTGCTTATGCTTGCAGCAATATGTTGTTTGCCTGATTGTTTTCCTGTCATTGTGTTGCAGGTTTATTTTTCCTTCTGTGCTTACAGTTTTCCCAAATTCTTTGTGTTCGGCGCCCACCACAGTTATGCTTATCTAGCTACCCCCCCATGTACAGTGCTTCTGTACATCGCATGTGTTCGAATACATGAGCGGCTCAGGTCCGGTGTCACGCTCTCCTCTGAGTTCTGCAAATCTTGTTTGTTTATAGATCTGTACCAAAACAATACCCAGCTCACCCCACGTACACTATCTCTCACACACACACACAGCATCCAGAGCTTACTGAGATAACAAGGCGCTGCCAAACAGACTCAAACCTGCACACACTTCCCGGCTGACTCATTACTGTCCCATACATACGACAGCACATGAAAGACCCCCCTAAAACAACACTTGACATTTTTTGGCTCCGCTACATAGAAGCACAATGTGAATATTACAATTTTGCTCTTGAGAAAACAAAAGAAAAATGCAGCTTTGATGTTTAGAATAATAAATACTAGCATCTGTCCCCGAGGTATCGGAGAAAAAAGCACCTTTGTTTTAACTTGTTTCTTTACCGGTCCGAGAAGAAAGGAGGAGGGAGAGCCTTTTTCTGTACTTATTTAGAGCTTGAATCCACATGCAGAAGGTTATTATTTCACCTGTCTACTCCTTTGCTCTTTAACCCTTCTTCCTCTACAGCAGAACTTTAGTTAAACATGTTGCTGCAACAACAAGCCTTTAAACAAATCTTCAAGTTACTGTAAACCAAGTGAGTGAAAGCTGAAGTTATTACATCTGTTTAATAGAAAACAGATTTCTGTTTCTTCTGTGATGTTATGTGCCAGTATTTACTTATAGATACTTCAATGTAGCCCTATTTCTATTACTTATTACTTATTTCTATTATTCTTATTAATTGGAGTGGAGTGGTGGCCTAATGGTTAGGGCATAGGGCTTTGAATCCTGAGATTGGGAGTGCGATCCCCCACTCTGGGTCCCCGAGCAAGATCCTTAAACCCACGGATCCCCGGACGCCGCACATTGGCAGGTTTGGCAGGTTATATTAGGGGAAATAACAGACTCATAAACACCAAGATACAAGTTAGGTTTGCTTATAAAAGTCAAACCCAATTTTCAAAACAGCTAAGTTATACCTCTGAAAACTAAAACATGCATGGCACTACTGCAAACACACAAAAACACATCTATCAACCTTGCCCTTAAGCTGAGTCAGGCTAACAATCGGAAAAGCAGCAAAGAGCCCCGTGGTAACGCCAGATGAGCTGCAGAACACCTCAGGTGGGAAGAATCTGTTGGGCTATTATGTGACGCACTTTGCAAAGCTGGTAATTATGCAAGGCTGCCAAGATGAGAAATTTTTTTAAAAGAAAACAATCTGAATTCCAGTGTATGTTTGACCTCACAACATGAAGAGAAGCAGGTAATGAGGATGGAGATCTGGGGAGATGGGACCTTAATATTTTAACTGCAAAACAATTATGATTACGCACAGTGGTGGCAGAGTAATGGTGTGGGGATATATATTTTTTTTATTTTACTATTAGCGACATCTGGTCAGAGTTATTTGGAAGCTAAATGGAGAACGGTGAAATCCTTAAAAAACAAGTTTTACATTTCCCGCTGGAAAGGGACTCTAAAATATGTAACCAGTGCTACTGTTAAATGGATTAAATTGAAGAAATTCATGTGTTAATATGTTCATGTGTTTCATATGTTATGGCAAGTCCAGTCCTAAATGCAATAGAAATCAAAACGTGTTAAAGGTTACACACTCTTTGTCATCTTGACTGACGTGGTGCTATTTTCTAAAGGAAGGATTTAGTCTGTCAAATGGCACACATTTAAGTTTTTGTTATTGCACAACTGTTCTCTCACGCAGTTTTAATAAGATGTGTTGAGGTTTGTAGCTGTAAAATAACAGAATGTAAAGGAAATCAAGCTAGATATTCATCTATATTGATTTCCAAGTTTCTGCAAAATCTAGCAAAAATGTGGACATTTGCTGTAAAAATATAAAATAGAATTTAAAATAAAACTTGAACAAACAAAGCTCCACCTCTAATATTGCTCTGAGTTCTGTTTCTATCTGCCCTGTTCCAGCTGGTTTAGTTCCCAGGCATTGGTAGGATCACCATACCTCAGCCTCACTGTATGCTTTCCTTTCAAACTATCAGATCCTTGATGAAATCGCCGAGCAGGGGATCAAAATTTATCAGCTACCCGACGCAGACTCTGATGAAGATGAGGAGTTCAAGGAGCAGACCAGAGTGCTAAAGGTGGGAGGATGGCAGCTCATGACTGCCCTTTCTGAACATATTGGACAATTGATATTTTACTGCTGAATTTCAATGACCCTTTTCAGGCAAGCGTCCCCTTTGCTGTGATCGGGTCCAACCAGCTGATTGAGGTGAAAGGAAAGAAGATTCGTGGCCGTCTGTACCCATGGGGCGTAGTGGAGGTGGAAAATCCAGAGCACAATGACTTTCTGAAATTACGTACCATGCTTGTGTGAGTTTTTTTTTAATAATAAAACCTCTTAGCTTGTTTGTTTTTTTGTTTTTTTTTTGTTTTTCCAGGAAAGGTCTGAAAACTTAAAAGAAAACTATTGTTGTATGAATAAGTCCCAGAAAGTCATTTAATGCAGAGCTATACTGTCCTCTTGTGGCCAAGTGTCTGATTGTTTTTTTTTTGTTGTTGCTGGTTTTAGGACCCACATGCAAGACCTCCAGGAAGTAACTCAGGATCTGCATTATGAGAACTTCCGGTCAGAGAGACTGAAGAGAGCTGGCAGGTGAGATGCTGCATAAAATCACCAAAACATTTTCACTAGTTTTTATCCATTTTCATTCTCAGTGAATTGTTTTATATTGTTCTGTTTTTCCTACAGAGCTGTGGATGAGGATGTGGTGGATAAAGACCAGATTCTGCTACAGAAAGAGCTGGAGGTAAAAACACAAGGGAGTCACTCTAACTGGTGCTTTCTGTTCTCTCCAACATGCTTTTATATAGATACCTTAATGAAAAATCTGTTTTATTCTCTCCTCATCTTTTCTGCCCTTCCCCTTGGTTCCCCTATGAATCCTTCTTTATTTAATACTAGAAAATATCTTTTTCCTTTTTTTTGTTCTCTGTTAATATTGTTTAGCTTCTAGGCTGTGGAGCGTACCAATCATTAGACTGTAGCCTGTCTTCTGATTGCTCTTGATTGGCCTGTTGGTTTTACTGTTGCACTCTAGAAAGCCGGGTCCCGTTTAATCACCCTTCAGGATTTGACATCATTTCCTCCCTGAATGTTCTTGCAATATAATGGAAATGACCTCAGTAACACAAAGCCTTGAGGGACAGTGGTACATTTTTACTAGTCTTAATGGTTGTGGTGAGAGAAAAATATCACTGCAGCCACTTCCTCTGTTCTCAGAAGCTTTGCTGACTGGAATTAATGCACAATATAGGTAAAGCTCCTTAAAGGAGTGATGAACTAATATAAGTTGAACTGATTCAGCAGCTAGAGTTAGGGAACTGGGTGAATTAATCCACCGTATTTGAATCTTGATTGATTTGGGACAATTGTTTGATTATTACTACTGGTACTAGTAGCTCTCAAAATAAAAAATAAAAAGTTCACTACATGGAAAAAAAAATGTTAAAGCCTTATATAAAGCAAATATTATTTAGATGTTAGTAAATATACTAATGTTGCATTTAATTAATGTTTACTACCACATGTGTGTTGTTCCTAAGACCTAGAAAAGAATCATTCATGAAAAACAAATAGTGTTCAAAGGCTAGAGTAAAAGTAGGTTTATCTATTTTTTCACAGGATAGTTTCAACATATTAACAAACAATCTAAAAGCATTGAAGAACAACAAATCAAGGAGCCAAAATGAACTAGAACTAGTGTTGCGCTGATACCCGATACCTGGCTGTGCGGTATTGGCTGATACCGATACCATCTGTTTGAAATAAATGTGTGTATGTATATATGAAGAACTGCATACTGCTTGGATGTAAAATAATTGCCATCATGGCTTTGTCAAGCTGCTGCCTACCTTTGTGAAGCAGGAAAAAGACAAATACAAAGTGAATCCAGTAGAACTTTTTATTGCCTACCTGGAATGGGTGACAATAGTTGAATAAACTTTTGGCTCTCATTATGGTATCAGTGCCCTATTTGTCGATACTCTCAGATACCAATACCACCATTTTAGTACAGTATTTGGGCCCCGCCCAAAACTAGTATCGGTATGCAACACCAACTAGAACCGAAGAAATGGAGGTGAATAAATAGTATAGCATAGCAGGAGCCAAGGAAGCTGTGTAGAATACAGAGCTTGGAAAACATTTTCCTCACTTTTGAATTATTTTCTATTTAGTCACGTTTAAAAACCTAAATTCATTGTATCTCTTTGTCTTTTATCAGACCGGCCAGCACATAGCAGAAGGTGTTCTGGGCATTTGTCTCTAAAATTGAACTGTTTGGCCTGCATATAAAGTTGCACATAATCCCCGTAAACATCATCCTAACAATTAGACACGGCTGTGGCACCACTGGGCTGTTGGATGTAGGATGTTCTTCCTCAGCAGGGACAAGAATGCTGGCCACAGTTAATGGGAAGGTGGAGCAGAATACAGGGAAATCCTTAAAGCAGATCTGTTGGACAGTATTAGGCATAATCAATATCTCAAATGTTGGCAAATAAAGACTTTGCCAAACATGTAATAAAACATGTAAAGATCAGTTCACAAGATGAAGAAAATCTTCTTTACAGTTACCATTCTCAACCACAAGATGGCAACAGATATTTAACAAGTTGTATTTAGTAAAAACTAATGATTGATGTTTTAAAATTATGTAGTGTTTCATATAGAGTTAATCACTTGTGATGTTATTAAATTTGAAAATAACAGAAATATGCATAAACATTTAGGAGCATTTTTTTCCTGATAAAAAAAACAAAAACTTTTAATTTCCCTCTGATACAACACTCTTTAAGAGGTATTTTTCTAACTGCATTTTAAAAATTATTGTTTTGTTTTTTTCTCTCTCTGTAGCTGAGGCGTATGCAGGAGATGCTTGCTCAGATGCAGGCTCAGATGAAGATGAAATCTGATGAGTAAAGGAGTTTGAGCTGGAGGGAAGCTCTCTCATATCATCACAGAGCGACAGGAACCCTCCAGCAGCTTACAGTAGGAATCCCACCAGGACATTCATCTTCTTCACACCCATCCTTCCTCTTTATTTTTTCCTTTCAGCATCCATCCACCAGCTGCCTGGAGAGCCACATTGATTTGTTTGTTATTTCTTTGTTTTCTGTTTGTTTTTTTAACCTGAAAATTTATTAAGAAAAGAATAAGTGGAATATCATGAACATTTTCCCTTAATTAACTTTACATCTTTGTCTGTTATACCCATTAAAAGCGGTATTAAGAGACGTTGCTAACGCGTGACTTTACATTACATGTGAATCATAGCACCAGTTTCTTTTTGTTTTTCTTTAACCGTGTTTTAAAATAAAGCCGAAAGATATTTTGTTTGCCTGTTTTTCTTTTATCCTCTCACATATTCAGCCTGTTTTCCTCCATTAATCTCAACTGAGGACATCAGCTAAACGGTTTCTATCCAGCATGACTTCAGCTGAACTTTACTGTTAACAGTTTAATTTTTGTCCCTCTGGTTAGTATAGAGACCACCCCATCTTAGAATGAATCACATGCTTGTATGTATCATTGTAACGTTAGTGCCAAACTGCAGAATAAAAACATAAGATCTTGTGTCTATATTTCTTAACAGGTTAAATCTATTTGTACACTACACTTGCAGTTCCAACAGATTTATAATTTGTTTTCTTGAAAAAGAAACGTATTGGATGCATTATTTAACTTTATGTAAACCCCCTTCTTTTGTGAAAAACAGCTGTCCCACAAAAGTACTCAAATAATGCTGCCAAACTCATGTGCCATTGTCATCCTTAATGTCTCTTTCTTGAGTTAATTTCTTAACTATTGTATTTAGCTGTCAACAATCTATTTTGTATTTTTTCTGAAATAAAGTCTGTTGATAACTAAAGTAAATGTTTTTTGGGTGTTTTTTTTTATACATCCAGTTTAGAATTCCTTAATTAGAGCTTAATTAAAGCAACTGGATGCTTTCCTGATGTGGGATGTTTTGTTTTGTCTGGTTTTCTTCCTGTAGGATCTCCATCTTGTTTGCTTCCTGTAACATTTTCTTTTGCCATAAGGAGGACAACGACGAAGGACCACGACAATTTTTGATATATAATCTAAACTACAAAATCAATTCTTCAAATTGCTTTTAAATATTCTATTTAAAATGAAAGAAAATCATAATTTCTTATGAATTTTCTTCTGTTAAACTTCTTTAAAGATCTGACACTTAAACCGTGGACTTCCAGGTTTAAGCAAGGAATCCAAATGTATATTTGATTCAACCTTAAGGCAATTTTGTCAAGGAATTACAAGTGAAGCATAATAAGACGCCTACATCGATTCAGACTTGTTTCAAAATTAATTTATTTCACACTTTCCGCAACCAATGGGCAGAAGTGAACCCTGTAAGACACAACCCTTCCTCATTTGCATAATGAGGCAGAAATGCATACAGAAATGTAAAAAGGACAGGCAGAAATAAATGCAGTTGAAAAAATAGTGTAAAAAAATACAAAGGAAGAATAACACAAAAATATAATCACTTGTACATCAATAAACAATAATAAATAAAGTTGGAAAATTATAGTGGACAATAATTAAGGTAATTATTACAAAGGCGAATAAATAAAGAACCTAATTAAAAGAGATATATACATGTATGTCTCATTGTATGATTTAATTTCTACCTACATTTATTTGTTTATTGTTTTTTGGGGGGCAATTAATTGTATGCTTATTCATTTATTGAGCATTTATTTATTTCTGTATTTATTTTTAAATATGGCAGAGTTGGTCCTCCATACCGTAGCGCTTCATACATGGTTAAAACTGTCAGTGTGTCTTCAAACCGACCCTAAGATCTGATTGGCTCTCCTGACATTGACTCTAATTACGAACCAATCATATGTCGATAGTGGTTTTAGTCCCCGCCCACTGACTGAACGGTAAGCCAAAATATGAAAATTAAACACCTAAATTTGCATCAAAAAAAGAGTATTGAATACTTAAATTCTGAAATAATCATGCTTATAAATCATAATTACACATATTTGAGAAATTTAGTGTTTGTTGTTTTTTTTTATTTGATGACGTTTTAATGTTATTTGAATATCTGAGAATATTTATCCATGTATGTATTTGTGTGGCGAGCTCGTTGATGGAGGAGGAGCTCCCTGCTGTCAGCTCTGCCCGCCCTCCTGCTGTCTGTTCGGGCTTTAGGAGGCGAGGCTGAAACGCCGCTTCTAGTGGAAACCAAAGGAGAAAAGAGGGTCAAACATGACGAGTAACATCAGGTACAAAAGCCGGATTCCGGTTAAAACAGGTGAGCACGGTGATCATTTTTATTTATAGCTATATTGCATTCTAATGATGAAGAATAGACGCTGATTGCTTCATGTTTGTGTCTGTCTGGGCGTCGCTCCGCATCCTTGCACCTGCGCCTCCTCATCCATCGGCCAACAGAGGACAGCGCGGAGGTAGGAGATCATTTAATGCTGATCTAATCACGTTTACTATAAGAGATTATCGGGGGGATAATCCGTTATAGGAGCGTTTTAATGTGCGGATACAGGGGACAGATGTGCCAAAATGCTCCAGACAATCACAGTTCATTTTTAGACTCCAACATGGTACCCAGACCGCAGCATCCTCCTCCAGCATCCTCCTCTGCTCACTTATCAACCATTATTGGTCAGAGTCCTCTGGTGAAATGACCTACTTTAAGATAAACAGCTTATTAACTGCCTGCTGTATTTAGTGAAACCTTTATGACCATTGTTCATCTGAAAAACGCAGCAGCCACGTGAGCCTTCAGGAGAGGTCGGGTCTCTGGTGACCCCAGGCGTTTCTCCTCCCCCTCCTCATCCTCTTTCAATTTTACACCACTGAGATGGATGCATCTCACTAGAGAATATTATCTGTAAGTGCTTCTATTTATTTTTTTTTAATCATATTGAAATGTCACAGATCACCATATAGTTTATACAGGAGGCAGTGTTTGAATGATGGTTTTATCTATTGATTAAAGTCACTAAGCAGTATCTGGAAATATGCCTTTCACGCCCCTGTTAAGGAAATCTGTAAAAGTGTTTAATTGAGCCAACTGCTGGGTTTTTTTGATGAGAACAAGCAGCATCTCAACCAGATTAAAGCCCAGACTTTGACTAGGCCAATCCCAAACCTTCATTTCAGATGTGTTGATGTTGTACCTGTTCACTTTCTGTCTCAGAATATTTTTTCTAAACAGCAGATTTTATTATTGTAGTAAAATGTTGCATGAGTCTTGAAGCAGACAAACCCCCGTGTTTTGTCTTAGGCTGTTCTTTTTCAAAAAAATGTTATTTTAGTTTTATCCCATAAATGCTCAAAGGATTTAGGATTTTATTTAATCGGCACATAGGAGGCAGTCCTTTATTTTAATAATATTTTGATATAATATTTATAGTTTATTGCTTTTCAGATCCTTTAGCCTATACTTCATGTGGTCTGATAGCTTATGTTTAAGTGATTTCTAGATTTGATTTGGTTTGTAGTAATGGGGCATAGCTGTAGTATTTAAAATTAAACCAAGAGATGTATTTATTGAACTAAACTCAAGATTTAACAAGGAGATAAAAAGTACATTTTCCTCATGGTCAGTTAAGAGTGGATAGCTTCATTCCCTTAATAGTAAAATGACGATTATTTTATTACGGTATTAAGGTATTTACTTTTATTTTGTTTCTACCTTGTACATTTAGAACACATCATTCTGTAAATCCTCTCATTGCTGTGGGATAATGTGTATAGTTTTTATTAATGTGAAATATAAAGGTTTTAGCTAGTGACCCAAAATTTCACCATATGAAGGTTATACGGTCAGGTAAAGATTAAATTTTGCATGATTATATTCTTGTGCTGGATGGTGGTACAGTTGGTAGCACTGCTCCCTTTTTGAAATTAGGTTATGGGTTTGAATTTGCTTGTTTCCATCATGCTGCTACTCATCTAAAGATATCTTGAGCCTACATGGATAAGCAGGAACAAACAATGGATGGATATTAGCTAATTTGTTTTCTTAATAAGAACTAATGCCCCAAACGAGTTGATAACCCACCCAGCATTAGAAATCATTACCCCGTATGACTATTAACTTTTCTCTGCAGGCATTGCTGGATGTGTCTTAATATTTTATCTTAATAGACAGATGACCTGTTTTTAAAAATGCTCCTAAGATTGTCAAACTAAAGTTTCAGGAGAAGCAGAGTGAACCCTGGCTGTGGAAAAATTAACCGGGTCATTCTGCTGGTCAGAATTGCAGACGGTGTTACTGCATTTAGATTTTTTATTGGCCCTCATGAGCCTATTATTGTTCACTGAGACCTTTTGTTTATGTTATTGGAGCTTTCAAGGTGCCATTGGATCATGGTTAAGTCATGCTTGTAGGACTTAAATTAATGGATTGGATCGGAAGTAATAGTGCATGGTTTGGGAACCTCAGGGTACCATCTTATGCAGAAGATGTGGTTCTGTTGGCGTCATCAGATCATGACCCTCAGCGTGAACTTGAGCTGCTGATAGGTCAGAATGAACCAATCAAAATGATGGTCAGGTCCTTGAAAATGCAAAATGCTCCTCTTCAATTCAACAGGGATCGGACAGGTTTTGTTCATTTGTGGTCTCAGTTGTACAACTATCACATTAAATGCATTATGAAAATGTGGGAATGTGAGTCCAGTGCAAAAATAATGTATGATAAACAGCATTAGGCCTGAAGCTTTACTGCAGGTCTAAAAAGTACTCTACACCCTACTACAACACCCACACACTTTGCTAGAGCTGATCTCAGGGCGCTTTTCCTTTCAAGATCTAATATTCAGAATAACTCGGACTGTAGAAAAGGAAAGAGACAAACACTTCAAATGTTCAGCTGCATGTGAATGAATCTGAGATGATCACCTCCAAATGAATCCTGACGGATTATTGATCCAAAGTCATTGTTCCCACATGCCCCCCCTCACTCTAGCCCTCAACCTTTCCATTACTTCACCAGCTGTCAAAAAAAGCGTTGCCAGGAAACTGTATTTATTTCCCATCCATTTTTATCAATGCTCCAAGTGTGGGCAGAGAGGAACTTAACATTTTAGACAAAAAACAGAGAAAATCAACAATAAACTTTAAAGGTCCATGTAGACAGAGGCTTGAATGATGGTGCCTTCTTAACCTTTTTGTGTAGCTTTACTTTTATTTTCATATTCTCTACACTTAGTTTCTTTGTCTAAATTGTTCTCCTTTGGAGGAAAACAGCTCCCTTTACTGACCAAACCAGAAACGTATAGCATCAGGAATCATTTGAACAATTCGTTTTTGGTGAGATGTTTTTTTTTTTTTTTCTAATAATCGGTTGATGGTTCTGATGGAGGGCAGCGCAGTGGTGCAGTTTTTAGCACGGTTGCCGTACTGGCCTGGAGTCTTTCTGCATGGAGTTTTCATGTTCTCATTGCAAGGCACGGTTTCTCTCCAGTTACTCCAACTTCCTCCCACTGTCCAAAAAATGACTGGTAGCTTAATTGGTTTCTCTAAATTCCCCTTTGCAGAGTGTGTCCACACTTGTGTGCCTTTGCATTTAACCTACAAGACAAGCGGTAGGAGATGGGTGGAAAATTACAAAGGAAAGATGAGAGACTTCAAATTTTTGG